ATCATATTATTTTAGCAGCTCTTCGACGTCTTCAAGTAGAAAAGTATGGAAAACAAATTGCATTAATATTAATAATTAAAACATGTTGGGGTTCTGCCTTTGAATATATAGATTATCTTTTACAAACAAAAATGGTGATAAAATCTATTTTATCAGAAGATAATATAAGAATTGATAGTCACATTCAAATTTTAATTATTAATGATAATTTTTGGAAAGATTTTAAACATCTTTATGACTTATTAAAACCATTCTTAATATTTATTCATCTTTTAGAACAAGATAACCCTTTACTTTCAGTAGCATATATCAAGTTACTTGATATAAGAGCAGATATACATAATAATCAGCAAGTTTCTAAACTTTCTGTGAAGATATTTTGCAATTGGGACACAAATGATGGACTGATTTTTTATTTAATCCAGCAATTTTAGTTGCTTATAAATTAGATCTATAATATCGTGATGAAAAACTTAATCACAAAAATAGGATCATGTTATAGAAAAAGAAATTATATGGTTATATGGAATAGAAAATAAAGATAAAGTTTTATTAGAATTTGCAGAATATGTTAGTAAAACAGGTGAATTTGCAAGGCCTCATTTATAGGGTGCTATAAAAGAAAACCCTCAAAGTTGGTAGAATTTAGTAAAAGCCCGATATCCAATTCTTAGTTCTGTTGCTTTTAAAGTTCTTTTTATTTTAGCAACCTCAGCTGTGAGTGAAAAAAACTGGTCATCCTTTGGTTTTATTTACTCAAAACTGCACAATAGATTAAATAATAATCAGGTAGAAAAAATTGTTTTATTTATTGGAATCTTCGAATATTGTGAAGCTTAGATTGGCCATTATCAATAAGTGATTTAAAAAAATCTGAAGCTATTATTGATAAAAAGATTAGCGAAAATATGATAAATAATGAAGAAGCTGATACTAGTAAAAATTTAATGTTTAAAGAGGAAGAATGGATGTTAAATAAAGATATGTCATTTGAATATAAGATGAAAATTTTGAGGAGAACATTGAAGAAAATTTTGAAAAATACTTAGAGAAGAATTTTACAGAAAACTCAAAGGAAAATTTGAAAGAACAATTTGATAAAGAAAATTCTGAAAATTCTGAAAAGTATTCTGAGGAAAATTTTGAGGAATATTACGAAAGCAATTTTATAAGCTTGGATAATGATTATTAAGATTTGTATTATTATAAACTATAGTCTATTAGTTCATCATCTAATTTGTTATTTTTTTTTATTATTATTTTTTTTTTTTATACCTTCGCAATGTCGTGGAAGGGTGGATTTTTATTAGGTATTTTTAGTGATACATTTTTGGTTTTGCGAGAGTACATATAGTCACACGTGCAACTTTTGGTCGCCTAATTTAAATAGTCCGCCCGAAGGTTCTACACTATATATCATACCTGTAACCTAACTAGGAGATTACCTATTTAAACCCTCTGACGTCCCCCGTCCTGCACCACCACCACAATCA